AGTATGTGGAAAATAATGTGTTTTTTGAACTTTAAACCGCATAAACACATTTCATTACACCAAATACACAAAATAATGTTCTTTTTAGCAACATCATATGACCCCTTTAAGGAAGTGATTGTTTTTTTTTGAGCATCAAGTAAAACAAAGCTCTCCCTCTTTCAGGAATGTGCCTTCAGGCATTTATTGAGGCCTTCTTTTACCTGGCAGCACGCAGGTTCAAGGCTTTACCTCTGTGGGAGCAGGTGCTCTTGCTGCTGGAGGTGTGTGAGGGGGCCCTCGAGGGCCAGAGCCACAGTGAGAAGCCACAGCCACACCGATCGCACACAAACACAAACCCCGCCTCTTCTCAAACATCAGCGCCAACCACGTTCAGCTCCCCTGCACTGACACGCCGACGCCACCGGCCGCTGCAACTCTCTGCTAAAGCAAACACAGAGAACTGACAATCTCACACATGCAAGCAAACACTTCCATGTCTTCTGAGGAACTTCCAGAGCTTTTGAATAAATAAACAAAGAAGGTAGAATAATGAACCGAATTTCATAACATATAGAAGCCAGGATAGAAGAGGACCTTAAATCATTCACTCTTAGCTCAATTAGCTCAAGTTGAATTGTTTATACACCTCTCAGATAAAGATATTTCTTTCACCACACTACACAGACAAAAGTAACTGAAGATGTTCATGTGTGTGTGTGTTCTGATGCCAGTACACTGATACTCAAGACACTTGTTTCAGTGCTAAATGTGCGGACAGCATGTGCACGAGCATGTGACTTGTCGCGTTGCTCATACATTATGCTTACTTTCAGGTAATATGGGTAGTATTTGTGTTAATCAATCACTGCAGGGATTAATGTCACGAGATTCAGTGTTTCTTAAAGGGACGAAATGTTGTCATAACTTCAGAAAAGCAGCTAATTTTCTCAACTGGCCACCTTGAACTGACTAGGCAGAACAACACGGTGGCCTTTTGTTAGGAAATGGTGTTAACACCAGGACATGGCACCAAGTGCACTCAAAGTTTACTAAGTTGTTTTATTTATACCCGTAGAGATTTATTTATTGTTTTACACTTAACTGAGTCATTCTCTGTAGCTTTGAACTGACTGAATTGCTCTTGCATGTAGAAATTATGACAGAAGGGGAAAAAAGGGGGTTTGCTGTGGTTTAATGCAAGTGGACATCTCACAAGATTAGCACATATTTACACAGATCATTTAACCCTCATTTAATATCACATTGCAACTGCAGGCATCTACATACAAATTAGGCTCGACTGAGATGTACTTTTTATGGACATGTTGAATAAACATTGCATTTAAAATATTATTTTGTATGTTTTTACTTTTTCAGTTACATACGCATGCACACATATACACTACCATTCAAAATATATATATTTTTAATATTTTGAAAACAAGTCTCCAATTCTTAGCAAGGTATTTTTATTCCCGATGACAAAGCTACATTTTCAGCAGTCATTATTACTCCAGTCTATAGTGTCCTTCAGAAAGCATTTTAATACGTTGATTTGGTGCTCAAGAAACATTATTTTTAACAATGCTGAAAAGTGTTGTGCTGCTTATTTTTTGTATTTATATACATAAAGGGATATTTATATATATATATATCTGGGATCAGTTGGGCATAATTAAAAATTCTGTAATGATCTTAGCACAATTTTTGTAGGCTATGATTGACTCGTGTGATTTATTTGTAATACTGCCCATAAGACGTTGGATTTTGGGATCAGAAATGGACCATCAGTAGGTTGACCTTATCCAAGCACATTTCATTGATCTTGACCTCTCACATTACTCTTGTCAACTGTTTGAGTAATGAAGACAACAAAGCAGGCATATGAAATAACTAAATAAAACTTTAATTATTCTAGTTGCAAATGTACATAAATTGCACAGCCACAATTGTATAGTTCTTAACATGGACAAATTTCTCTGTACATTATTGTTCTTGTCATTGTCCTAAAACAAGGCAAGAGTCCAGCCAATACTTTACTTTAAACATACTTACAAAAAATATTTTCTACAAGGATTATAAAACATACAACATATTTTAGGTACTCATTTGTAGATTTGTATATCTTTATATCATTTATTTCACATACATTTAGCTACTATTTCACATTGACTGCTTGGAGAAGAAAGAAAAAACAAAACAAAACTAAACGATGCACAAATAGTTTTACTTGCAAAAGTTTCCTAAACTCTGAGAACTGAAATGAAGCCAGATAAAGACACATCTGATGAAAAGAACCGAGACGACAGCAAAAGTCTTTTTCATTCAATAAAGCTCTAAACTACTATTTCATTTTTTTGACTCACTGGTAGCTTCTCATGTGGATGAAAATAGACGTAATGACTCCGCAAAACCTCTCAGACCTCATTAAAAACAGAACATGAACAAACAGAGAAGCTGACATCCACGTCTGTAAGAGAAAACTTGTGAAAAATAATTATTGATTCCCTTTTGTGCAACCACACGAGCCCCAAGCCAAGTTTAAAAGTTGATCAAATGAATTTTAAATGACTCTAGATACTAATCTGCCTTATACAGACAGTGCTGAAGCATTTAGTACATGCAAAACTACTTTACCAGGGCATCAAAAGAGCATGTGATTGGCTGAGATATGTAACACAGTCCAATTGTTAATCTCATGACATTTACACTGCATGTGCACCTTTGTGTGGAAGGGTTTATAGCGTGTGGCTACAGTGGCACAAACGATAATGCTACAAATGAAACTGAATGACAAATTAAAGCTTCCCTGGCTTAATAATAATAATGAGCACCTCGAGTTTGCTACGTGTTTGTAGAGTGAAGTAAACCCAAGTGGACACGACAAAGGGAAAAAGTGCAGTCTTCAAAGCCTTTGAGAAGCTGGGGCGAGAGATGTGCTTTGTGCTTGTTAAGATCGCTGCGTCTCAATCTGATCCCACAATTCACTCGGCTGTTCCTGTGAAACTTGCTTTATATATAACTAACTTATTCACATAATACTCCATCACAGAGCCCATATACAGAGAGGTTTCCCCTTAAAAATAACACCTCTATCTTACACGTCCAATGACAGGCAGTCTTATAATGTATCTGTATCTCTGCATCAAAATAAAGACATGTCATGTGTCTCACTTCCTCAAAGACCAGCGAATTAAAGGAAAACAGCAGCTCCACGCTGCACCTCAGTGCCGATAATGATAAATGCAGAAGAGTCTTCACATATGCTATTAAATACAAAAATATACAAACTCTAAATGCTGAAATGTAAAGTGTGCAGCAATTTGGACCAACATATACAAAAATAAACACACTTGTACAAATGACTTAAAAAGGCTTAAAAAATGAGTCTGAAGAAAAACCCATGAAGAGAACAAGCAAAAAATAAACAAATAAATGCAAAACTCCCAAACAATATAGGAAGAAAACATGAGCTACACAAGGCAGTTTTCAAAACTTCCAACTAAAATCATGTCAATCTGGTCTAGTGTTTAAAACATTCACTCTGTGCTAATTCAAAATCTTGGCATATCTAAAATGGACCCCAAATGACATTTAGAATGTGTTTGTTACAGACTAGAACATTTCGGTCCGAAACAAAAAAAAACTAAAACAACAGAAAAAACAAAGAAAATAAACAGAAAACTTGTGGAAGGAGAATGAAAAATATACTTTTTTCAAATCTACGCAGATTATAATCTATCACAGATGTTCATCTGAACTGTAAAAATCAAATAAAAACAAGGACTGAGGGATATTTCAGATGCAACATTTTAAGGCTTCTCGTGATGGAGAGACAAAGTGCACTATGTAGGGAGAAACAGAAACAGGAAGAGAATGCTAATTTCTCCACAAAGAGTTGCTCATTCTGTAGTTTCATATTAAAGTAGAGACCATTATAAATGAATGTGACAAAATCTAGTTTCTTCTTTTTTTTTTCCTTCCAAAGGCTGTATGGAGAACACCTATTTTAAATCAAGTGAAATGACTTTTTTTGCAGGCTAGAAGGTCCTAGTATCTGTATAATGTCACCATGTTAGCTGTATTATTGTTTTTTGTTTTTTTTTTCTTTTCTTTTACAGTTAGTTGTTGAGAAACACAAATGAATGTCTAGTGGCGTTTCCTAACATGAAGTACTTGAACAGTAGTCTCACCAGTGGATGTTTAAAGTGGATCTCGCTCCACATTTCCAAACAAACGCTCTGCGGACCGTCAAAGGTCAGTGTTGAGTATCCTCACCTGCAGTATTTCTCTCAGTGTTCACTTATAGAATATCTGCACACTTGCTCACGTCCTCTCTCTTTCACTGCGTCTCTCTGTGGATCTGTCGTTCAGCAGTTGGAGCTGTTGCGAAACTCCCCGTTCTCTGTGATCTGCAGCTTGGTGGGGTTGGTGGGAGAGATGCCGTTGCGCGTCTGCATGCTGTAGCGCTCCTTCAGCTGTGACAGGGCACTCATTAGCCTCGCGTTAGCCGCGTCCAGAGATGCTATCCGTTTCTCCTGCAGAGAGAGACAATTTCAGCATCTATACAAACCATTAGTCCTATGAAAATACCAACACCAGCAATTTCAGCTAAGAATTTTTATGAGTACTTGTTTGGATGTTAACAGGTCGAGAATGGGAGAAAATAAATACGCCCTGGCAAACAGTGAATCCAGCCCAGACAGAGACGGATCAAGTGATTTTTAGGGGAAATTTTGGTCATGTCATCAGCTTTTAGGTTCTCATATTAACAGACACATTCATGTTTCTGGTTGCACAAGGCTATTCAAAGAAAATGCATAATTATGCATATATTTGCTGAACATGAGTATGCATGAGATATTCAGTTTGGTTGATCTCCAGCTAAGCAATGGCAATAATTCTGACCACACAATCTGATTAGCTGAGAAGCATTGACCCAATGTTGTTCAATAACAGCTGAATGTGGACCATTTCGTAGAATGAAAACGTGTATTGAGTCTAAAAAGACTACTTTTTTTGGCAAATGGGATTGATACTAAATGATTATTTAATTTATGATTTGTTTTACTTTGCAAAATTGCTGTACATTATCGATTAAACTGTGTTGGAGGGTAATCATAAATAACGTCACGACTGTGAGGATCTGGCTTGTGTCTGTGACCAAATCACAGCTGTGATGTTATTTGTGGCGACACTCAATCTCAAGTGTTTAATTGATTATTTCTTTCCTAAAGAGTACATGAAAGGAGAAGAAACAAGCCGTTTGGTTTTCTTGGATATAAATATATAAATTAAATGTATATGAATTTTCTTTTGTTGTAGTATTAGGAAGTGTGGTGTGTTTAGATTTCAGAAAGTAGACATCAGCCAGGAATACTGATGTTAGGCTGGGTTGGTGTCATTTTAATCTGCAGAGCAAAGATTTCCACAGCTCTCACTGTAGGACAGTGAATATTAACATAATGATGATTAATGATGCGTATATGGCAGCCACACTTACAATGTAATAAAAACATTTGTTTCTTTAGAAAATCTACAGCATAGTTTCCCTAGGGGTTCCAATCGAACAACAGGGGAGGTTGTGAGATTGTGACAGAAATGTAAATGCCAAAAATACATCGCTTAAAAGTTTGGGGGTCAATAAAAAGGAATCATGTGACACTGAAGACTGGAGTAATGACTGCTGAAAATTCAGCTTTGCCATCAGCATAAACATACATCTTTTTTATATATCTTATGTACAGAGAGTGTAAAAGGAGACTGGAATGACAGGGAAAAGAGGAAGGATATGATATTAACAAGAAAACTACTCAGTGCTATTAATTTATTCCTTGGTTCATCAATATGGTTCATTCAACCAATTATGAAATTTTACTGAACTACTGAAATTTTGGTGTGATGACAACCTTCAGGCAAAGATCTGTGAAATTCGTTTGATGTGTTGAAATGTTAACATTTAAAATTAGTACATAAAAAGAACTTTTTAGAAAAAAAGTAGATTACATTTTAGAAAGTAATTTGGAAATCAAGGTTTAACTGACATACCTAAGACATCAACACTATATAGACATACCTGCGCATCAATGATCTTCTGTTTGGAGTCAATCACTGCCTGCATATCAGCATGATCCTTCTTCAGCTCTTCCTCCACAGACATCAACCTGCATCAACACAAAACAAACACACTCTCAGTCCAGCCTTCATACATCCTCCCATTCTGTCTTTGATCTAGAGCTCGAGGCCATAAAGAGCTGCCCCATAACATCAGTCTTGGAGGAAAGTAGCTCTGAGTAAATTCTGCCTTGAAGAAGGCTAAAAGTCTTCTAAAAGCTCTCAGTCTTCTCAGATTGCCACTAATACACTATCAGCTGAAAGCAAAATGACACTCTGCATCAGAGGCTTGTGGTAGACCCTGAAAGGCAAAAGTGCCCTCTCTGTGTTTGTTAAATGTAAAATTCATGTTCTGGCGCAAGCCAAGTAATTTTACTTTTATCTGACTCAAGAACTATATGAAAAGGTGAACTTGTGTCATTCAGTTCCAGCAATTTCACCCATTCAGGCCAATTTGTGGACTGGCTGTGAACTAGATTCTTTCTTTTTTTTTCTTCCTCCCCTCACCAGCCCATCTGCCTTCATTCTGGTTTAGCCTTTATAATACAAGTATCTCCCACCTGCTTATGATGCCCTTCATCTGCAGATCTTTGTCTTCCTGTTGCCGTCTCAATCTCTCCTCAGACTCGTCCAGCCGGGCCTGATACTCCAGCAACATCTTCTGCGCCTGTTCCTCCTGTCCCTTGATCCGGACCTCGTATTCCTCCAGCCTCTGCACTGACACACGCAGACGCTCCTGCAGCATACTGATCTCCGCCTGATACTGCAAGAGACAACAACATTCCTCTTTTGGTCTTTCACCTCATTTTAACCAGAAGTCAGTATCATAAAAAATCAAAAAAATGACCTGAGGAATGTATCTGTATTCTATTTGTGGCATCACGTGTGGTGTGCCAGTTGTACACTATTGATGACTGCGGGTAACTTTTTATAGTAAGGTTCAATTTGTTAACATTAGTTAAATGCATTAGGTGTCATAAATTAACAACGAACTAAACCTTTTACAGCATTTATAAATATCCTTTTGTTCATTGTTAATTTATGTTCATTCATAATATATTTACTAATGTTAATTTATAAATCTTGCAATGTTAAAAATCCATTAATATACAGTGGGTACGGAAAGTATTCAGACCCCCTTGAGTGTCACAGCAAAGGGTCTGAATACTTAGGACCATGTGATATTTCAGTTTTTCTTTTTTAATAAATCTGCAAAAATGTCAACAATTCTGTGTTTTTCTGTCAATATGGGGTGCTGTGTGTACATTAATGAGGAAAAAAAATTAACTTAAATGATTTTAGCAAATGGCTGCAATATAACAAAGAGTGAAAAATTTAAGGGGGTCTGAATACTTTCCGTACCCACTGTATGTAGAAATTAACATGAACCTAGATATAGAATAAATGCTGTAGAAGTTATGTTAGTGTAGGAACATGCTAACATCAATCGTTAGTCGAGTCTCTCGATGACTATAAACTATTCGTATGAGGCACAGAATTACTAGTGTTGTTTTGTTGTTAACTTGAACTAGTAAAAATTGCTTGCAGTAACTGAAATAAAATTTAAATATTTGGTGAAAAACAAAAATAGAAATGTTGCCTTGGCAACTAACTAAAATAAGTGTATCTACTAAAATTAAATAAAGATAAATGGAAGCTAAATATAAATATTTAAAAACTATTTAAACTAATACAAATGGCAAAAGCACATACAAAACTAAATTAAAATTGAAAGTATAAAAGTATTAAAATTAAAAACTGCTAATTCAAAATATTAATAAATGCTATAATAGTAAATAAATAACACCGAGAGTTACTGCTAGTTCCATATCAGTCACAGGACAAAGGAAATAGAAAGAATGACAGATGTACAAAGAATTAGAACAGCAAAAAGGAAGCAGAGTATTACATCTCTTTCACACACAGACACACACACACACACACACACACACACACACACACACACACACAAAGAAAAACAAGTAGATAGAA